ATTTTGAAATTTTCAATCTTTGCTTTTAAACTGCTAATAATATTGAATCTTCCTTAAAAGTTATTATGTACTGTATAATTTGAAAATTTATGCCATTTATCATATACATTATTACGTACAAGTTTAATCCTTTAAAAAATGATTATGTTTTGTAAAATGCAGTATTATTATGTTAGCTAATATATTTAGAGAGAAAGTCAAAGAGCTTAAGGCCAAAGAGGAAGTTAAAGAAGAAAAATGATTATTTTACCCTATAGAATTAATCGTTAATAAAACGTTCACTTCTCGAAGTAGGCGAAGGTAGGTTTATTTGCAGGAAAAGGAAAATTTTTAGACGAAAGTTTACTTGTGGAAAAAGGAAAAATCTTAGCCTCGTTATTGACACTTTTCAATCTATAAGTAACTGTTCATTTAAATAGACAAAAAATTTTTATTCTTGATTTGACCAATTCTAACAACTCATTGCGGAAAGTCACATAAGAATTTTGGATGTTGAGGGTGATTTCTCATAACACCCGCTATAAATACTGAGAGATTATTCCGTCTTCGCAACCTATGACGTTTCTACATTTCACTGTATACATAATATATATGACGCAGTATCGTTATAGCTTTAAAGTTGCCCGCTTCTGTATCACGGCTTCAAGATAATGTACATTACAAGATTTTTATCTTTATATTAATACATTCCCGTTATGCTATGTGTTACATACACATCGTTCTTGCTTTGCAATATATTTCATGAGGTATTAATCATTTTGAGAACGGATTATAAAGCGATATATCATATACTGTATCATGTTAACTGTTAATATAAAATATCATACCTATAAAAAATAAGTCGTATCCTCTCTTTGACACATGGTATCCTTTAATATCGTCATCAGAAAAGAAAAAAACAACGACTCGACAACGAAACTTATCAGTATCTATCTAAATCTTTCTTTCCTAATTGGTGTGGGAATTTTTTTTTTTTATATTTTTTATATGAAAAAAAAATTCATGATATAATCGGTCATGATTGTCGTCGATCATTCCAAAAATATCAGTTTTTTGGCGGGAGACACTTTAAAATCTATATATTATTATCTCCCGATCAATTTCATATTTTCAATTAAAGAAAAAAATGTCTTTCTTGTCTTTCTCGCGTAAAAACAAACTTGAAGTCCTTTTAAGTGCCTGCTTTTCAACAATGAAGAAAATCAAAAGGTAAATTTATGATAATAAATTCTTTATTAAAAGAATGAGGTTATTCACTTTTCTTGTCATTAGATCAAGATTGATTTTTCTTTCCTTGTTATTATAGCAGTGATGAAAAATTAACATCCATGTGTTTTCATGTGAGGAACTTGTGCTGAGTACATGAGATTTGAAAACATAAAAGGTCTCATAAAAAGATCTAAAAGTTTTGAAATGCGTAAAAGGTTCCATAAAAGAGGTCTAAAGGCACACAAAAGGACACAGCAAACAAATAAAATACAAATGAAGATTATGAAATTGACGAAATCAAAGAAAAGAAAGATTACAGAAGGATTCATATTGGGATTTCTTTCATTCGTTTTTTTTCATTTTTTTTTTTTTTTTTTTGGTTTAATTTTCCTTCTTTGCTTTTCATTTTTTTCATTTCAAGTTTTCTACTTTTAAGGAAATTTGTTTTCCTTTTAATCTGGCAAACCTAATAATCGCAAGACCTTTTTTTTTTTTTAAAAAAAAAAAAAAAATCTTAGCGTCGATTCCTTGAGAAAGCGTGTACGACGAGAAAATGTTAAACAAATTCACAATGTAGGAATTGACCAGTTTTTTTTTATTGGGTTACACAAAGCATGAAATTTGATTTGACCTTGAATGTTACATAACAACATAAAAGCACAAAATTTTCATTTTAAAGTACTAATTTAACATTAAATACGCTCATATTATGTAGGAAACACAATTCTATCATAAGATAAGTACATTATAATACAAATTAACCTAGTCCAATAGCTTGTTCGTTTCGTTAAAAATTATGTAGTTTTCGACCCTGATCCTGTGCTGTCACTATCACTAAGTCTTACTAGGAGTCTAGAAAGAACATGAGTAGTAACCACTTGTTACACAAAGTCAATATATCGGTTTATAAACATTTAAAGACTGAAACACTTAGTAAAATATATTTCTCCTTTAACAAAAAATTTTGCTATTCACGTGAGCAAGTTTAGAATCTAAGAATTAATTACTTTAACCAATATTTTAACTAATCAATAAAAATTTCTCTCATGCAATTACACGAACTAACAATTACGTGAATTTTATCAATGATTAAGAAATTTGAAATTTATTACCATGTATTATATACATTTAAAATATGATTGAGTTAAAAATGAATGTAAAAACTAAAAAGCATCATTTTTGAGATTTCTTCTACTAGGGGATTAATGCTGAAAGGTATAACAATTTCAGATTAATCAAAATTAATAAATTAAAAAAGATTGGTATTAAGTATTAACCCGAATTGAACTAGTAATTAAGTGTATTAAATTTACATTATATAATTAGTTACAACGATTATTATAAAATTGTCATGGGGAGATAGTATCAAATTATGTATTTCTTATTCATGTAACTTTTTTTTTAAAATTAAAGATACGCATTATCGTTAAAAAAAAAAAAAAGTATTATACCTTGAAAGATTGGAAAAAACAAATAAAAGAACCAAAGAAGAATTTGAAAAGCAGGAAAACTTCAGAATGAGTCAAATAAATAAAAAAAAAAATGAGCAACGGAGTACTATTGGAATTAATTAATCGAGAAAGTTTGTTGTTAATAATATTTAACATACTTTTATTAAATTATTATATTAAAAAGTTTTGTATGTTAATTACAAATTCCGAGTTTCTAACTTCGCTTGCTCGTATTATGATAGGCACATTTAAGCGCATGAATTTATTTGATATTTGATGATTTGATATAATGAGATTAATTTCGTGTTCTAGTAACTACATTGTTATACGTTTCTTTGAGCGATCAAAATGTCTAGTTATTTATTATATCAAGTCATTTTCATTTTTGCATTTGCATTTTTTAAATCAGTTTAATCCATCTAATCCATCTAAATTTATGTAATAAAAATCGAAGAATTGTGTAGAATAAATAATATTCGTTTTCCATGTCACTACCCACCCATATTACAAAATCGGAGCAATGCTTGTTTTAATATATTAATATAAATATACTTTATATGAAGAATAATAATAAACAAAAAAAAACCAGGTGAAAACAGGATCGAAAAAAATGGTAATAAATTGAAGATTTAATTTTAAATATCGCAAGTCATCCAACTGTCCTTCACCAGCTGTAAAGTTGTAAATACAATATTGCGTTGTCAATCATATTCATAATTTCACTTTTAAGGGATGAATATTGTTCACTAATTTGAAATTCTGAATCTAAAAATAAATAAATTCTATTAAACTTAATGACCATAAAAAAAAAAACAATTATTATTACTTTGACTTGCTGACATAAATTGGATAACATCTACAAAATAAAAATTATATTTATTATTCTATATATTGCTTGAGGATGTTGCACTTGATTAAATTTATTATTAATTATTTCATTATATCTAATTCTATTTGATAACAAATTTTAATCTTTGATGTCTTCAAAAATGATCTGCTGGTTGACACATTTCTAAATCACTAATAGATACACCGCTTCCATGAATAAAATCTTTATGAACTTTCCAAGCATTATGAATATTTTTAAGTCCAATAGCGATTTGATGTAAAAACCATTAATTTTTCGGAATAACTTATGTTTTTAATTTATGTAAATTTTCACGTAAATTTCCTTTGTAAAAATTATTGTAAAACAATCATATAATTTTGGTTTCTGGATCTTGAATTATTTCATAACATTGAAACAATATAACTACTTCCGTAAATCTGATAATAAGTTTTAACCTAATATTATTTATATAAAATATAATGTGTATTTTTTTTTTGTTTTTTTTTTAAAAAAAAAGAAAAAAAAAAAAAAGAAAAAAAATTGTTTCTCATTTTATTATTCTTTGTTCCATTTTTGATTTTGAACATCCTAACTATAAATATAACCTTCTAATTAGCTTTATAAATTTTACCAAAACCACCTCTAGAAAATATATGTAACACTTTGAAATTTTTCAAAAGATATTCATTCACAACATCTTGTCCAATGTGTTGCATTAAGAAGTTGTTGTTCTTGAATATATTCATCAATATTCTAGTTTCCATTGGTCCAATTTTTAAAATTTTCTTTAAATCTTTTAGCATTTACATGGTTGACACCATGAATCTCCTGTGAAAGGATTATCACATTCTGTACATACTCCATAAATCACCTTCCTTGTTTCAATATCGTTCATATAAATTGATTCGTCATCTATCTCACTATTTTCTTCTGTTTCAACAATTGAGTTATGAAACGACAAATGATTCCTTAGGGTAGGGTAACGACAAACTAATTTTGATAAATACTGTAGATCTTATCTAAAATAAAGCTTTATTCCGACTAGAACATGCACATGATTCATATACTTTACTTTTTATTAATGAACAAATCGATTTGCAGAAGGAAACTCGATATCATTTTCGCGAATGGTTTCCAAACAATTATTAGTAATTTAATAATTTAATACGGTAATTGTATTTATTTATAATCCTTTAAAAAATTTAATGATCATAGTAAAATACTGTTTCTAACTGTAAAATTTGGTAAATTGAAAAATTATTTATTTTATATTTTATTGTCTCCTTTCTTAAATCTTGCGGATAAATTTGTGATTGAATACAGATGTTGTGTAACAAGCAAAAAAATCTTTTTATTCTCAAAGTCAAAATTAAATTTAATTGTTTATAATTTTTATTAATCTGTTATCTTAACGATGTTGTTCTCAAAAATAAATTATTTATTTTTTAAAAAAAAAACCTCAACTTAGATGATTCGAAATTAAACACGAATCACTAGTTTAATTAAACAATTGCCTTCTGCCAGAATCGAACTGACGACCTTCTGCTAACATAAATATACTAGGCAGACGCTCTGCCAACTGAGCCAAGAAGGCTTCTCGTTGCTTTTAAATTTTTATTGAAATATATAAATTACTTAAAACTACTTTAACATTATCATTTTCAACACTAAAAAAGTAGTATCACGTGACATATAAACAAATTATTTTCCATTCGAACTTAAAATTTCATTATTTATTATTCTTCTATACTTCTAAATCTAAAATGAATTACCAGTGATCTACAGTATTATATGGCACGACTTTAATATTCTTGTTCTTATCCTTTTCCTTCTGCCAATTATCAAGCCAATAATTCATGTTTTCTCGACTTTTCTCAGATCTATAGAAAATAATAATAAATACGTGGTCAAAATAATATAGAGGCTTTTTTTAAAGAATAATAAAAGGGGTTTTCTTAAAAAAAAAAAAAAAAAAGAGAAGGGAGGGATTTTATTGAAGAGAGGGGAAACCCACGAGATAATCAAAAAATAAAGTCTCACCCAATGTTAACTGTTGGTATAATTTGTTTCACATTCAATGACATTACAAAAGCAGCTAATTCTCTAAAACTTGAATGTTCAGAATATGGTATACCAAATATTTGACATGTCGATGTAGAAAAAGTTGGTTTTATAGAATCAATGGTAAATGGAGTAGAGGTGTTAAGAATTTCTTCTGTCGAGGAAGATGCTGAAAATTTTTGTCCCTTATATGTCCATCCAGTTGGACGAAAAGCCATTACATATTTGAACGTTGGTTTAAGACTTTCAAGATATGCAAAAATATTCTGCGTTATATAAAATATATTAATAAGGTTTAAAATATGAATCGACAATAGAATTAAATATAAAAAAATTACATCGGATTTTATGGACATAAGAGAGGCAACATGTACATTGGCTTGATGTGGATCGTCCGTCAAAAGTGACTCTATACCGGGAATTTCCTGACACATAAGCATCTTTCGCTTCTCATTTGTAACGTAAATCTTAGACCGGAAGGCTTTTGCTATACCTATAGTAAGATACGATCGGTTAATATATTTTCAATAGAATAAAAGAGGACAATTATATATAAGTCTAATTACCAAAAAAGACCTTCTCTTTACCAATCAAGTATGTACCGATTACAATCAAAATTTTGCTATTCTTTAATTTTGTTTCATCGATATCTCTATTATCACCATTTTCATCGATCTCATCGTTTTCTTCATTTTGTAATTCATCTTCCATCACAATGTCCTCTGTGTTTGTCACATTTTCTAATTGTCCAGGTTTAAAAGAATCTGTTGGTGTTTTTTTAAACCATTTGTCTAATGCAAGTTGTGACTTGTCCTGTTTAGGTTGCTTATTTTTCCATTGTCCATTATAACCATTACTACGTTTCATGGGAATCAATTCACCCCTATTAACTGCTTTACGAATCAGTTTAATCACAGCATTAACAACTTGTTCTTGAGCAGGAAAACAATATTGTGGATTTAAATAAGTTGTGTCAAGATATAGAATATCAATTGCAGGATTTTGAGGTTGTACAATTGCTGAATGAAGAACTTGTCGTGGACAAGCACGAAAATCTCCAGTATGAAAATATCGCTTGATTCGTCCACTTTTATCCTTCACTTTGAACAAAAAAAGTGCTGATCCAGGACAACTAAAAACGTGTTTAACATTATGTTATGAATGAAGTCTCAAAAAAAAGGTTAAATTGAACTTACTGATTGGCGTCAATCAAAGTAACTGTAATCTCATTGTTAACATCAATGCTAACTTCCTCATTCATAGGAAGTTTACGAACAAAATTCCGCGCCACCTTTAATTGTTGGATTACCAAATTACCGGTAACTGTGGAACAATAAATCAATCCGTTAGACCACTTTGAGGTTAATCCACCATAATGATCCGAATGGAAGTGACTTCAAAATTATAATCAAATTAGTAAATGATTCTTAAAAAAAATTTATAAACTCATCTCATATTACCTCAAAAAGTAGGCAGTGCAATGTGGAATCCTGCCATATTTGAATGCATCCACTGTTATACTTGTGTCTAATTGACACAATTATTTTATAATATATAAGAAATACTATTTAGTAAAGTAGATTTGATTTTTTAAAAAGAGCATACCTGGCAGCTTTTTATACCATGGGCATTCTTTTTTAGATTGCGCAACCCGATCTTGTTTCTTATCAATAACTAAATCATTATCGAATTGTCCAACATCTAATATATTGGTTGATCCTTTTTCATCTATACTGAATAAAGGATTTTGTGGCTCAAGTAGTAATGATGATTCAGTTTTATCAAATATATTTTTTTTTGTCATGGACAACTTTAATGGGCTATCGATACAATTATTAATGTGTTCGTTTGATTTCTATAAGAATAAAAAATTCTCGTTATTAAAGTAGAATCTTTCTTTCTTTTCTTTCTTTTAGTTAAAAGTATACTCGCTTTATATGAAAAATTTTTCAAAGATATTCCACAAACAGGACAGGAATTCGAATTATCGTCAATAATGACCATTTCATTTATTTCATTCATAGTTAAATTTAATTCTTCCTCACAAGAAAATAGTCTATCTTGTTTTTCAATCTTATCATCTAATTGCTGCTGATTTTCTATAATCGAATTCCAATATTTTGATGGTATTTGTATAGAACTTTTTTTAATATTTATTTCATTATCGACTTTAATTATCGATTCATTATCATACTTTACACGTTTAATAGCATTATCGGAGAAATCCTTTTCCTGTTCAATATTAATATTTATACCTTTATCATTATTTTCTGTCGTCCTATTCGATGGTATTTTTGGCGTAAAAAATGAAAACAAAGTTTGCGTTTTGGTAGTTGAAATAGTACGTGTTGTTTTAGTATTGTTTTGTTTAAATCGAGTTTTAATATTGTTTTTTGAATGTTCATTTTTTGCCTGTAAAGAAAAAGACGCGTCTTGTTTTATGCTTTCGATAGTAGTTTTTGTAATAGAACGCTTAGTCGAATTTTTCATTTCAGTATTTCTAATTTTTTGAACTAGTTCGTTTGTTCTCTTATCCCAAAGTTCACAATCTGGACTATCTTCAGACATTTTTGAAAGACGGCATTTTCTTTATTTTTAAGACATATATAGATATATAGCGCGTTTCGGAGTTTTACCCCTTTACTTTACACGATAAGCACGTCCAGCCATATGTGTTACCACTGTGTCACCTAGATTTTTGATTTTAATGATTTAAAACTCAGTTAGCTTATCGAATTTTGCTAACCAAGATTTACAGCTGAACGAGAAGCGCCTTGCTTTCTTGGCTTGGATGTAATCGTTGACCAGTAGAACTTCATTGTTTGAAAGTACCTCCTCGAGCTTTCTGATATTAAATTGCATTATCAAAAATCAGTCCGTTAAAATCAGCATGATCCTAATAAACTGACCAAAATCACACGGATCTAAGAGACCTGACGTCACACAACTAGATTTTTCGCATTTTTTTTTTCGATAAACCCCGAATTATTATCCATTTCTAGTTCCTCAAGAATAAATTTCTATTTTTTTTTTTTTTTTTTTATCCAATAAATGAATTACTCTATTCGTGTCCTTTATTACATTCCATTGCATTGTACATGTTATATCATCTTTCGGGACGCTTAATGCCTTTAGGAATTTTTTATGTTTAAATATAATAAATCACATGAATTAAAATTGATCAAAAAAAAGATCGGAAAAATAAATTTATGTGAGACGTGAGACAACCGATGTGACGCTCACTCTGTGTTACTTGTTAACACGTGTATAAATATGTGACTTGACTTGCCGAAATTTCGACACAAACATGTCCATTTCACAGGAACGTTTTGAAGAATTAGAAGCATTACGCACCAAACTAGATGTTTCTTTTGATATGGTTTCCACTTTAGTTGATTCTTGGTTGCCGCCTCCTGATCCTGAAGAGGAAGCAAAAGAAGAAAAAGAGGAACTTTTACGACAAAAAGAATTAACCAAATCGATTCAAGAACGACATGTTGCTAGGTATAACCAATCAATAGTTAATTTTTACGAAAATCAGAAATTTCTTTTATTTAATTATATTAGACTTTATCTTTTTTGACTTTTAGGATCGGGATGAATGGAATTAAGAATAAAACAGTTTCAGAGATGATGCTTAAACGTAAATTAATACGAAAAAATCAAAATGATGATGATGATGATGAAGTTTCTATGATCCAAAAAAATCTAAAACTTACGGATAAAAATGAGGATTTGGAAGATAGCAAAATTTCCATAAAAAAATCAAAAATTAATTCTTTGAGTAGCGATAATGTATCAAAGAATCAATTTGGAAGTGATTTTTTATCAATATATTTGGCTGAAAGAGATAAGAAAAAGAAGAAAAAGAAAAATAAGAATTCCAAGAATAAACAAACGTAAAAATTTCCTAAATTGAAACGATTTTGATTTCACATAAATTTTATTACATAATAAAAATTATCCGATGAGGAAAATTTTGGTTGGTCAAATTATAAATTACCCTCAACAAACAATATAAATAAAAAAATAATCATGTTTCAGATTTGCGTTACTTTAATTGACAGACGAAATATTCGTTAAAAATTCAATTTTACATCGCTAAATCTCACGTAGGTTTCATAAATCTTACATTCAAATATGTTTCAAAAAAAAATCATCCAATACATTTTTCAACCGTTTATTAATTTCATTAAAATATGAAACTTATCCATGAAACTTTTAATTATCAGTGTATTTTTTTTTTTTATGAAAAATAACGCACAAAAAGTCTTTGCCTAATTAGATTTCATTTGATATATGTTAAACTAAAAGTTTGAAACTACCGGGAAATTGACCATTAATAGCAGGTTTAAAAATTTAAATAATGGGGATTCTGATTACCAATGTGGTGTATATATTACTGAACCTAAATACGGACATTGTTTGTGTTTGTTACTCTTAAAGTCATAACGTTTACCCGATTTTGTGCAATGATTTAAATTTAAATCAAAATCTTCGTCTTTGAAACAATTCACTCCTTGCTGGTTGTG